GCTGGATAAACTTCGGGTGAACAAGTAAACGCCGTGGTTAGTTAAGCGATAACAAGCTCATGAATAAAGGCAAGCTATTTTGCAAAACTGTTTCCCACGACTCATAAGAAAAGGAAATGACGAATTTATGCGCCATGTGTGCCATTAAAACGAACCCATATTGCCAGCATATGAGAATGAACACCTGTTTACAAAGCTGATGCAATAATTCCCACTTAATGACAATCGTTTCCAGACGGAAATTCTCCGGTTTTATCCCCAATATGCATATATGTTTATTTCAGAGACCTTGATCTTTATGCGAATGTATTCGAAAGCGCGCTAGACGCGCTTTCCAATTATTCACGGTTCTCATTTACGGTCGGATTTTATGTCAGACGAATGCATTATTTATTGGGACAAATAATTCAGACGAATATTCATCACTTATGACGAATCCTGCTCTGGGGATTGGATTTCGCAATTCGTATCTCATGATTCGTGCATTATAATTTAGACCTCACGAACGAATTCTATATAGAAAAAACATATTTCCTGATGCCAGAGTAAACTGAACCATTAAAGAATTTGCTATTTTTGATAAACTTCCATCGTGTAGCCTAAATTATCCAGTCTACTTCTGATTAACCGGATAATACCAAGGACAAAAGCCCACGGATGTCGCGGTTAATCTGAGGTCAGTTTTAAAAAAAATTAATTGAAATGGAGGAGGAATAACTAAAATTATAAGGTATTTTGTCCCTCCTTATCGCCTGCCTTCGTAGTGTAACTGGAAAATACAGCGGGCTGGCAATCGGAAAGTCCAGATTTCGCGCCTCGACGACCACACAGCAGATTTTTCCTGTTTTCTGCTCCGAAATACGCCTAATGAGACTTCAAAAATCTAAGAACATTTTACCTGCATTTTCAAGCAGCTTAATTTGCAGAGTAATTTCATTTAATTACGTAAATTCCAAATAAAAGAATTCACAGTGAATAACGAAAGATTAATGAAATGAAATGAAGGAAAAAAGGTATAATGAAATGAAGCAGCTATAAATTGATTAAATAACAATAGTCACAAGAAAACGGAACAGCGCCGTTGAGTTCAACTGGCGTAAGAAAGGTCATTTCAAACTCTTTGCTTTTGACTCTGCAATGTTTATGTGTACCGGAAAATGTAAAATTGAATTACGTACTGTTGTGGACGAAAACGATTCCGCAATACTATGATATCACCTGCTATTACTGCTCTTACTTCATGCATTTTTCCTTTTTTTTCAGCATTTTTCGTAGACAGTTTTGTTTTATGCTGATAGTTTGTGATAGTAATTTCCCCATCAGTCCACAATAAATTTAACTTTTTTATTTGTTTGTTTAGACAAAGTACCTTAAACTGGAAGCCGATTGTAATTTTAAAAAATGTTAAAGTCAAATGAAAATTCATCGTGCTGTTTCATTCAGCACTTTTCTCCGTTTTAATTGTTAGGTTATAGTTACTAAAATAAGGCTTTCTTTTACAACCATGATGTTCAGTTCGGATTCAGATCCACAATTAGATTACACAATTTAAATTGAAAATTTTAATTCGAAGCATAGCAAAGATTAAAAAAATATACTTTTATTAATTTAGAAAAACGACAAAATATATTAATAAATTCAGAAAAGGGGAAATAAAAAAAGAAAGGAATGGTCAAACAAAGAGAAAGAAAAGAAAAAAAACTTTTTACACTTCCAAACTGACGATTTCCACCGTATCTTATATAAATAGCTTGTTTAACGATTTACGATTAGAATCTCCAGCAGCTTTAACAAACGAATCCAAATAACCACCAATCATACCCTTTTTGTTCAGGTAAAAAAGTCCTGCTCACTCATTTTAATGTGTAATACACAAAACAGAAAAAAATTTCTCTTACAAAAAGCAGATAACCTCGCGTACTCCTTTATAATATATAAATATTTTTATGCTTTCGTTTCTTTTCTTTAATTTGATTATTTAAATTACTGCTGAAAATATTAGGGCTCTTTGTCCAAAGGAAAGAATGCCTTTGTGAAGGACACTCTAAGAAAAATTAGCTCACATTGACGCTACAGGTATACACACATTCACACTATACTGGCTTGTATATACTCGTATATACACATGGGGAAAACCTCGAAACCTCCCATGCAACCTACGCATTCTTCGTCAAAATTTGAAACCGAGTCGAACTACCTGTGTTCACCGATTTTATCTTTTGGCTGATGGTGGACTTAATATTTTTAAACGGGGATAAGCTCCGACGATGTTAGACAACGGTTAGCAGAGGAAAGTTGCCTTACCTATAGACCTGAGTTAAACTGTAGAGTTATTAGGTTAAGTGGAAGCAGAAAAGATGAAAAATATGCAACCGCCTTCGCCGGGAATCGAACCACGGGCCTCTGGAATACCGGCCCAGCGTGCTACCGTTACACCACGAAGGCTCGCTAGGGAAGTGGGAGAAATACCTTATATACTCCCCTTTTTAAAGAGCGACTAGGGTTTTAGGGGACCTAGTCGCCAAATCCTGGGTGCGGAGAATCATCATCCACAACCCTTTTAGTTCGGGCGCCACTTGTAGAGTCATTAGGTTAATTGGAAGCAGAAAAGATGAAAAATATGCAACCGCCTTCGCCGGGAATCGAACCACGGACCTCTGAAATACCGGCCCAGCGTGCTACCGTTACACCACGAAGGCACGCTAGGGAAGTGGGAGAAATACCTTATAAAACTACTGCATAAAATTCGGATGTTTACAATTATCTCCGTCACTTTAGAGAGTCCGATATTGCTCCATTTCACTGGTACATCTTGAATACTTTCTTGAAACCGAAAGGCCGAAATGTAGGATACATCGGGTAATACCTCGGCGAAAGCCTAATTGGTAAGGTCCAAGGCATTAGAGACGTAAAATTAAAAGAAACAGCGGCTGATGAAAGCGTATTCACAGTAACTAGAATATAGTGCGTTACAGTTTGAAACCTTTGAGGCACGTCTGTCAGATACTGGCAGTATTAAGTATGTTCGAATAGTGGAGTAGAACAGAGAAGGTAGAATTTGATCCATCCTCCAAGTTTTCTCCATGATGTTATTTTGTGTAGGCACTAACGAGGTTCTTTTCCATGCATGTCTTTCAGGCATTTTAAGGTCTGGCAGCATTAGTATTGCTTACTGATTATTGTATATCACTTCGTAAACAAAATAACCCTCAATACAGAGAGAAAGCGAAAAAACATTTACATGCAGAAATAACGTCGAAAGCATACTTTTCAGAAACTGCAAGGATTTCATATAGCAGGAATAACATAAAATACTTCCCTTATTCGTTTAGAGACTTGAATTCACTGTATGAAGTCATTCATTTGAGGCCGGAACTGCATTTCATTGTGTTAAGAAAGTTCAGAAATAATGATTACCCTATTAAGGATTACTACCTACACTATAATAACAATTTAATTAAATAAAACTCTAGTAAAATGTTTTATGGAGAATATTTGGTTTAAACGAGAGCGATAAACGTGAAAAATCAACTGAACTCTCGTCGCGATTTGAACCACGGATCATTCAGGTGCTAGTTGGATATACAAAGTACGCAAGTGTAAATGCAAGAATTACTTATATTCTGTCTAGCATTTAAAGAGTGCATGGGGAGAAGTACGAGATCCACTCGATCTAGTCCGAATGGTAGCGAGTTATCGGCCCCCATGCTTTTAATTAAGATGCCACTGTAAAAATTAAAAAAGTTTTAAAGTAGAAGAAGCGAGAAATAAGCTGTCCTTCTTTCGGGAATCTCATCACAGATCTTTCAATTTTGAGATTGATATTCACATTATCTGCATTTATCACCTGAATTTCAGGATGGGTTATAATATATAATTACATATAAATGAAAAATGTGCATTATTGCGTAGGTTTTGATAACTATTAAATTACTGGAACCAAGCGTTTATAGCACGTTTCGCATAACGGTTCTTTAACTTTCGTTTCTCCTGCTTTCTGAAAATTTTTGCTTTTTTATACGTTTCATACTATTTTTATTCCATTAATATTTTAACTTTTATATTTGTTTAATTGTTTATTTACTTATTTTGAAAATTTATTATGTTTTTATATCCCAAATTGATCCTATCTATAGGAGCAATTCATTATTAAATTTTTGTTACATTTATTATAGCTATTCATATAAGTAATTATTTAACGTATTATTGTAAATTACTGCAGAACATGCAATAATAATTTAGAACTGAAAATATTTATCTACATGAAGTTAGATAGTTGTGGTTTAAATATATTAGAATTAAGTTTTCATATATAATTTTTTTTTCACTTTCAGAAATTTGAAGTAGTAATCTTTCCATTAAATAAAAAAAGAAAATTAATAAGTAATAACAACTTTAAAAAAAATTCTGCTGGCATTAGGCAAACAGAAAACATACGGTATGATTCATATAAGGCGTAGAGCATTCACATCAAGATCAAATCAAGCAGGCCAACATTTCACTCATTTGTAGAAAATATTCAGAGCCGGTTTTAGCTGGATTAAATATTCAGAGCTGTATTTAAATAGCAAGAACAACCTGAGCGAGGACGAAGAATATCCTCGTAGGAATTTTAACTGCAGTAAAAACGCTGGAGCAAGACCCGACTGAAGAAGTATTCCTGGAAAAGTAGTACGACTATATCTTTGTTTACTTGGGCATAACAAGAAGGCGCTCCCAGTGATTGGCGATAATATTAGTTATCAGAAATCTCATCATATAAAGTAGAAACCGGTTATTGGTTGAGAAACTTTAGACGGAAAAAACAACTTGCTGGTGGATAAGGTATTTTTGGAGTAGAATTAAGCCCTAAGAATAGAATATAACTCTCGTCTTTGGCTTTTAATTCTTACTTGTGTGTTTGGTACATATACAGTTAAAAATAAAAAATATTTGTTCTGATTTATTTTTTAACATTTACTGTCTTCTAAAATGTTTTATACAGAAGAACAGACACTTACCATAGCATAACTGAACAATTCCTGTTCCAATTATAATTGCAAGAGCAATGAGTTTACCGAAGGTAAACAGATCTTGAACTCTTGTTGACCACTTCACATCCCAGCAGTTTACGAAGGTTAGAAGACCTAAAAAGAAATTATGAATTTATAAATATTACGTATACAGATGTAGGTTTCTAAATGCAATAAACTGATATTCACCAGCTTCGTATTAGTAGTCCTACTAATAGTATACTAGGACTAGTACTAGTCTAATATACCATTACTGTATTAGGATACTATAAGTGCTAATAATACTAGTATACTATAAGTGTATATAACTTATAGTATACTAGTAATATACTATTAGTAGCACTTCTTACTAGTACCAATGTAGTAATAGCACTACTAGTACTACTACTACTACTACTACCACCACCATCACTAGTACTACTAGTACTAGGAAGGCATGGATGTTTGTAAGCGTATAGTGTCTTCGCGGCATGGGGGCACTTTAAATATATGGTAATCCGAAAGTCCTCTCATGGGGTTTGGTGGAAGGGGAGAGGGGTGAGAGACCCTCGGAGCACCCCACGGGGTGCTTTCCTTCAAAACTGGGGTGGAAGTTGAAGTCCAACCTCCCTGAGGCTCTAGCAACCATTCTTCCATGAAATACATGAACAAGACAAAAACATTAATATTATTGTTGTTATTAATTTATTATTACTGCTATATTAGTATTTATGGTTACTATTCATCTTTATTATTATTATATTATCGTTACTATTATTATTTTACTAGCAGCTTCGCTGCCAGCCTTCGTCTGGCTTTTAAATGTACCGGAAAAATGGCTGAAGGGAACACCAAACGTTAAATTTAAAAACTGCTTAGAATTTTACTCTGCAGAACAACTTTATAAAAAAAGTTATTACGTATTACAAAATTACAATGAAATAAGCAATATCCCTTAATACAAATATTAATTATCCTAATAAATAAATTAACCAACTTCCCTTTGCAAAATCTTAAGAATTCAAATGGTATAAAGGAGGTTAAGAACTTTGTTTCCTAAAAGATCACTCAAAACTTTTCAATATCTTAAAGACAGTGAACTGAGCAATAAATAACATAAAAGAATACAAAAACAAAAAATTCTGAAAAGCAAAGTATAATTAATGATATTTTATCTTATATTTTCAAGAGAAAAAAATTATAATGAAATAAGCTTTTATTACATTGTTATTACTATTATTATTGGTGTTGTTGTTAATAATTATTATAATATATTGACCGCTGACTTCTGATGAGGGATTAATGTACGTTTTCATGCTTTCTTCTGACAGCACACATCATACAAAGTACACTGCAGATTTCAGATTTATGAATTATTGGTTTATTACTTTGCTGCTTTAGCGCAAGTTTTAGGATTTTTAATTTAATTTTAATTACTTTATTTTGAATCCTTACTAGTGAAAATTGATTTAGTTGTTTCGCATGAGCACTCACAAGTGTGCCCATTAAATTCTTACGTTTTAAAGCCGCTTATATTTTAAGAACAAAATATGTTCGAAACGACATTTTGGAAATACTTTATGTGCTTGAACTTAAATTTGATTTTGGTTTCTGAAAAGCTATATTACTTAAGCTAATTTTAAGTGAATATTAGCTAACAGTATCTCTTGAATTAATCTCTGCGTGTTATTCCATGACGTATTCCTTATTATTGGCTAAACAAAATAGAATGTGCTGTGTCTATTTAATAAACATATTAAATAGACCCTCTTGTGCACTGAAATTGGTTCTGATTAATTTAAGGGATACGGTTTCAAAGCAGTAGTAATTTTGTACAAAGGTACAAAGGCAATTTGGAGAAGTTAAATGTTTGTAAATGAAATGCATCAGTGTTTCGAAATGATGCACGCGCTAAATTGGTTTGGTTTCTGAAATTTAAAAACGATGAATTATCAATAAAATCCTGAGTGCAAAACGCCAATTCGAATTTATAGGCTAAGATCACTTTAACGAAAATACAGAACTTATTTAAAACATTCCTTTTATTTTTACCTATAATCTGCGATCTCTAAACTACTACAATGACACTCATATTCTCAGAAGAATATTTTCGGATTATGTGCTTTATCCTTTTCAGGGATTCCGATCTGAATTTTGGAAAAAATTCCGAATTGCATTCTGTTCAGTTTTTTTAGTGGAATTTAAAAATTTTCATTCAGAATTTTTTATTTGAAAAGTTTCGTATTTTCCCCCGTGGCCCAGAGGTCTTAGGATAAAATTTTCAACTTATGCTTGTCCTAAATGCTATCACCAAATTAATCTCGCAAAAAATATATAAAGCTATGTCATAAAATTCGTGAAAACTTGCTCTAGTTTGTTCGAAACTTTTACTTCCCATTTCGAAACATTTAAAAAATATATTCATATTAGCTATATATTTTATAGACTAGTCATCCTGCTTTATTTTTCCACATAATTTGTGACATTAGTTTAATACACCTCCCATTAATTCAAGTCACGAAGGATTAAAGTGCAAACTAACCAGCGTGATACAGCACTGAATTTCAAATTGCATTTTCTTAGTTATTTATTAGCGTTTAATTAAAGAAACAGATGGTGAATTAATTTGGAATTAAGGACATTTTTCTGTACGGTTGGAAGTATTTCAATCATAATTTTTCACATTATCTTTATTGCCTCTTTACCGTGAAGTAGACTTTTCTCTACATAAAAGCTGAAACAAGTAAACGTGCAGTGGATGGAATAATGTTAATGAAATAGATAAAATGCAGATTATTTATGTTTTCAGATGAAATATATCACGATTATTTATAATTTTCTGTCATTTTGTTTGACTACAAGGTACACTTGACCAACGTTTATCTAGAATTGTCTTTCCGCTTCATAATTCCATATTATTTTTCCTACAGTTTAAATAACATTAAACTTTCTACCTGTTATTAATAGCTTTGATTAAGGATTTGAGATTTCAGCAGCAATATAGAACAATTCTGACCACATATCAACAAAAAAATTAACTGGTTTTACCTAAAACCTATGTAAGTACTTATTTATGAAAAAGAAATATATCATTTACAACACAAAGATTTTTTAGAACTCAGTATAATTCTATATAATTTATAAGGGGAAAAGTCAAAGAACATACGCAAATAATATATTTCAAACCAGACAGAAATGAAAACAAAATTTATAATTGCAAGTAATAACTATTTCATCTAAATTAAACATTTTATGAGATCTTTAAGAACATAATTTCAGTGTTTAAAATGGGAAAGGTATGTCTATGGGTCACACGATTTTGAGCATCAATTTATTAGGATTCTAGCATCAGCAGGCAGTTGATGTTATCTTGAAATCACTGAGAGATTAAAGAGCTGTCAGCAAAAACAACAGATAAACAGATCCTGTGCAGATGGTGATTATAATGACGACATCCCAATCCGTCGATATTTATGATTCTTCATGTTATTTAACTCAAGTTATTTTCAACAAACATGAGTGATTTGCACGGGAAAGCATGATTGCATACAGCATGTCAAAAGTCTAAGCAAAATGTCCAGGTATTCTCGAGAAATTTCCCATACATTTTTACATTTGAGAACTTATCGGTCATTACTGGCCCTCAAGTAAATGCATTTTTTCGACATATTGACATATTGCATTTTTTCGAACTAAGACCATATTTGGAATGAAGTTAAAATCCGAAAAATTTTCAGGCTGGTGAAATTTTCAGGCCGAAAAAGGCTGGGTGAAAAATTCACCCAGCCTTGGTGCAAAACGAAAGTATTACACTACACTGGTGTGCAAAAATTAAGGACGAAGTCGAAAAATTAGCATATCAGCTGAACGAAGAGGCAGAGCGGACAGAAAGACCAATCAGGAGATTAAGTAAGGTGATGTACGGTAGCACATGCGCAGATATGCAGGTAGACGTAATGGGGGAGTGTCTGAGTAGTATAAAGCATGTTGTCGGTGTAAGATTAGTATTTCTGGCAAAGAGATTGCACGCCGTATAGCAGTTAAAATCACACCGAGTTGCTGCCTCAGCGAGAAATGGCGAATAATCAATCTGTTAGACGACATCTGGATGCTTTTACCCGAGGTCGAATCATTGGGAAGTTGGAGGAAGGCCGCAGTGTGACAAGTGTGGCTGCAGAGTTCGGAATTGCTCACAGCATCGTTTTACGACTTTGGAGACAATTTCAAACTACAGGAACAGCTATCCGGGGGTTTAGTAGTGGTCGTCCACGAGGAACCACACCCGCAGATGACTGGTATATTGCTTTACAGGACAGAAGAAACAGGCGGCAGACAGCGGGAGAAATCGCTACACACGACACAGGCGACTGGACGACCGATATCGCGTTTTACCGTGGCCAGAAGACTGCATGGTGGTGGTCTGTTTGCACGACACCCTGTACGGTGTGTACCTCTAACGCCTTCCCATCGGAGAAGGCGTTCTCTGTGGTGCAGGGAACACCGGAATTGGAGAGACAATGAATGGGGACGAGTACTCTTTACAAATGAGAGCAGATTCAGTCTGAGTAGCGATTCTCATTGCATACTCATCTGGAGAGAGCGGGGAAGCCGCAATCATCCCTCGAACATCATTGAAAGGGACAGGTATGGAGGTGGCGGTGTTCTCGTTTGGGGAGGCATCATGCTTGGTAGTCGTACAGACCTTCACATCTTCGACGCAGGTTCAGTCAACGGGACCCGTTATTGTAACGAGATTCTTCTTCCATATGTGCGTCTTTTTAGAGGCGCTATGGGTCCGCAGTTCCTTTTCATGGACGACAATGCACCATGTCATCGCACAGTAGCTGCCTAACAGCTCTTAGAGAGTGAGGATATTGAACGTATGGATTGGCCGGCACGATCTCCGGATCTCAATCCCATCGAGCATGTATGGGATTTTCTAGGCAGACGCTTGGCAGCTCATACCTTACCACCAGTAACGATTCCGGAGCTTCGATTGGCGCTGCAAGACGAATGGGCAGCAATGTCTCAACAACCCATTGACACCCTCATTCTCAGCATGGGCAGACGCTGTGAAACCTGCCTAGCAGTCAGGGGAGATCATATCCCCTATTAAAGACCGGATGTTTCTTGCT